GGGGGGGGGGGGCAGCTTGGCAGGAAAGCTTGTAAAGGGGGACTGGGAACTACGGGGAGGGGGCTGACTCTAAAAGTGTCCTCAATCTTCCCCGCAGCTCATCCCGATGATCGGCTTCATTGGCCTGGGCATGGGCAGCGCGGCGCTCTACTTGCTGCGGCTCGCCCTGCGCAGCCCCGATGTCTGGTAAAGGCCGGGCCTGGGACACTGGCTGGGGGCCTGGATGGGCCAGATGAGGCAGGAAAGAGCGGGCCTCTCAGGAGTGGCGGGAACGGGTGGTCCTAGCGCGGATCCCCCTGCAGCACACCTGCCCCTGCCCCGGGCATCGCGGGGCTGAGCCTGCTCCTGACCTGAGAGCCCGTCTCCCCTTCGGTCCACCCCACGGCGTTCGCGTCTGTGGCTCCAGATTTGCCCCGGTTGCCATGGCGACGCCGTTCTGCCTCGGCAGGCGGGCGGTGGGTACCTCAATATCTGCACGCCTGGCGCTGGGGATGTGGCCAGATGAACGTCTGGGGGTCCAGTAGGGGTCGGGTGACAATGAGACTCCACGGCCTGGCCGGAGACAGAGGGGGGTCAGGGGGTGTTCTGAACGCATCAGGAGCTCACCTTGCCTCCTCGGAATTGGAGACACATTACAGAAACCCCAGCCCTTCAGGATCTCTGCCTGATTCCCCCTGCTCTGCTCTTCCAGGTTGACCCAGGGTGGCAAGGCGCAAGTGGGAGTCCCTGGGTTGGGTTGTCTGCCCCTCATCTGGCCTCATTCTGACAATGGTGACAGTCTTTGTGTCTTGTCAGTAACTGCTAATGTTACCCCTCCCCAATCTCTGGCAAATGGGCCCCCTCTGGGCAGGACAGGGGTGGTGGGGTAGAGGCAGAGACCCTGGGTGTTACCTTAGGCTCTAGAGTCCTAGTTCCCAGAGAGGAAACTCTAACCCTCCCCCTCCCTCTCCACAGCTGGGACCGAAAGAACAACCCAGAGCCCTGGAACCGCCTGAGCCCCAATGACCAATACAAGGTACCTCTCAGAGGCTCTAGGGCTGCACTTCCATCCTCTCATTTCTTGTTCCCTGGGAAGACCCCTTGGTAGCCCCCCAAAGGGAGGCCTGGGGCACTCTGTGCAACCCCTGCCCTTCCATAGTTCCTTGCAGTTTCCACGGACTACAAGAAGCTGAAGAAGGACCGGCCAGACTTCTGAGCCTGGCTGGGGCACATCAGCCAGCCTCCTCCTTTCCTCTACTCTCTGCCCCCAGCCTCCAGGGCGCCACTTCGTCACCCAGTCCAGCTCCTGCGTACACAGGCCTGGTTCCCACGCCAAGGGGAGGCAGCTCCACCCCCACCCTCTTCCCTTACTCCCAGCAGCGGAAGCGCCTCTGACCCTCAGCTTTAGTCTCACGCAGGGGATTGGGGGTGGGAGAGTTAGGAGGTGGGGAAGCAGTGGGTTGACCCAAAAGACCCAAGGCAGCTGCCCCTCTGCTAAGCTACCAGGGGCCCTGTAGGGTGTGGCACAGGCTACGTGCTGAGCGTGGCCAACGTGAGCCAAGAGCAAAGCAGGGGCCTGAGTGCCAAGCGACGTGGCGGGCCCCACGTTTGCCCAGGCTCTGGGAGCCAGCCCAGGGAGGTGCTGCTCTAGGCTCGATTTGGCTCGCAGCCTGCTGCCCAGCCTGCTCTAGATGAGGCACCTCTATACCCAGGGAGGGGCAGCATGCTGTTCCCTGTGACTCAGGAGCCAACCCACACCCCCTCCAGCCTAGCACCTGGGCCTCCCCCTGTCATCCCACCCCTCCTTGCTCCCCTCTGTCCCCTGGGATCAAACAGAAGCAGCCGTGGGCAAAATACAATTTCATTTAACAAATTGAATTTGCTGCGCCTGCTAATCACGTCTGGTGTCGGCTCTGATCAGAGAGAGAGAGAGGAGGCTGCAGCCCCCGGGGGTCCTTGTGGGCGAGAAACACATGGAGGGAGACAAATCACCACCTGGCCCAGGGGACCCCTCCCACAGTAATAGAAGCTCAAGTCAGGTTAGCATTTTATTAGATAAAAACAGAAAGGAGGGTGTCTACCCACCCCTTCCTCTGGCTCACAAAGGTAACTCCCCTGTCCCTAAGAAAGAGTAGGGAGTCTATAACACTGAGATAACGGGCACCGTTAGGGCAGAGAGCCCCAGCCCCCTTCTTCTAAGTCTTCTTACAAAAAGGAATTTCAGCTACAAATTTTGTGAAGGAAACTACATCTGGCTCTTCCTCTAAGTGAGAGGACTTCCCTCCTCCAGCAAAAAATTGGAAGATAGGCGATCCCCTCCATTGGTCCAGGTACAGGGAAGACGAATAACTTTAGTCTATGAGCCTCATTTCCTTGGTGCCTTCAGTGCTCATCAAAACCAGGCATGGGGAAGGCCCTGGCAAACTGCTCCACCCGTTTCCTGAGGTCAGCAAGCCGATGTCTTGTTTCTGGGTCCTTGAGCAAGAAGGATTTGAAATCTTGCAGTTTGGCTAGAGAGGAGTGAGGAAAAGTAGTCAGAGCTCTAGGGAAGGCAGTGAGATCACTGGGGAAAGGGCGGAGAGTGAAAGTAACTGGCTGGCTCAGGGGTCTAGCACACTCACAGGTCTTGCTCTTCACCTCCAAGCCAATGTTGACCCCTTCATCTATAAAGTCCACCACTTTCCTGAAGTCATCCTCACGAAACTGTCGAGAGGTCAAGGCTGGGGCCCCTGGAAGAGAGGCAGAAGAGGATTAGCATAGCCCAAGCCCACCTTACAGCCACCCTTCCCTCCTGGAACTCCAGGTCTCACCAAGCCGAAGGCCCCCTGGAGTGATGGCACTTCGGTCTCCAGGACAGGTGTTCTTGTTGGCTGTGATGGATACAAGCTCCAGCACCCGCTCAGCCCGAGCCCCATCCAGGCCCTTGGGCCGCAGGTCCACCAGCACTAGGTGGTTGTCAGTGCCACCTAAGGGGGAACAGTAAGCAGAAAATGGTGAGTCCTGGGCCTATGCCTGAGACTAGAGGCTCACACACGCGCACACACACACATCCGGCTCACCAGATACCAGTGAGTAGCCTCGATCTAGCAGGGCATCAGCCATGGCCCGAGCATTCTTCAGAACCTGCAGGGAGTACTCCCGGAACATGGGGGTGCAGGCCTAGAGATGAGACAGGAGCACCTGGGACCTCAAGTCCTACCCCTTCTACTCTTCTGCCCCCAGCATAGTTGTGACTCCAGCCTTGACCCCTCCCCTTCTGCCCTTTCCCTCCCAACAGCTCCAACTTCAGTTAGCAAGATGCAGGGCCTGAGCATCCAGATGCCCACCACCCCAACAATAGTAGGCTCTCCAACCTGCTTTAGGGCCACAGCCACTGCAGCAATGGCATGGTTGTGGGGGCCCCCCTGCAAGGACGGGAACACAGCAAAGTTGATTCGGTCCTCAAACGTATAAGGGATCTCCCGGCCAGTCTTGGGGTCCACAGACTGTACCCCCTTCCGATAGAAGATGAGTCCTGACCTGTGTGGGAAGAGGGTAGTCAGAATCTAAGCTGAAAAGAAAGGACAAGGGATGGGAAGAGCAGAGGAAGCTGGCTGACCCAGGCCCCTGAGGGCTCTGAGAGTCCTCCTCAGTCATGCTCAGTGTGCTTGACTCCAGTGGTCAAGGGGAGCAGAACCTCCCTCCCACCCCCAAACCCCCTGCCAAGGAAATGCCACCATGGGCAAAAGAAGGAGAATCCTCAGACTAGGTAGAACTCTTCGGGTAGAATGAGATCCTCTCAGATCCAGGCCAACAATGCCCTGGGAATAAGGCACGAAGGCAGGGAAAGGCAAGGCCTGACCTCAGGGGAGCCTGACCTGGCCCCTCGAAGCGTCTTGTGAGTGGTAGTGGTGACAACATCCGCATGCTTGAAAGGTGAAGGGATCACCTTGCCAGCCACCAGGCCACTAATGTGGGCCATGTCTGCCAACAGGTATGCTTTGACCTCATCACACACCTCGGCGGGTACAGAAACAGGCCTTAGTCTGGGGAGGGCCCAGACAGGCCTGCCCAAGGCTGCCCCTCCTCCAAAATCTCCCCATCACCCCTTAGGGAGTGGCAGGTACCCCAGCCTTCCACCAACCTCTCTCATGCGGGCATAATCAATGAGGCGAGCATAGGCGCTGGTTCCAGCTATGATGAGCCGTGGTCGGAAAAGTCGAGCAGTGATTGCCAGCTGGTCATAGTCAATAAGGCCAGTTTGGGGCTGGAGAGATAGACAAAAAGCTAAAGCCTTTAAAAAGAGGCAGTGCAGCCCACTTTCCTCTTTGACCCTGAGGGCTGCCTAGGGCTTCAGCCCCTCACTTTTCCCAGGAGAGGGTTCCCAGACCCTGAGCAGCTCCCTCCCCACACCCTAGAGCACTCACTCACATTCAATTTATAGGGCATAGACTCAAAGAAGATGGATGTGGCTGAGATCCTCTTGACATCAGACATATAGCCATGGGTGAGACTGGGAGGGGAGAAGAGGAAGTAAGAAGGCTTCTAAGTGGAGCAACGCGCAGACTTAGCCACTCCTTTCCTGCCCTGCTCCAAAGGCCTCTGTCTCTGGGACACTGCTCCTAGCATGCACCACCCTCATTGCTCTGTCCACTCTGTGCTGAGCCCTGGTTACTGGGGTCTTATCTTCTTCCTGCTCTGTAAGATGAAAGACAGGGAGAGGCCTGTTTCCCATCTGCATAGCACATGGTGGGAGTGCAATAATAACTCCTCTCTCGTGCCCATACTGCCCGCTAAGCCTATCACCCACCCCATTCATACTCACTGGCCACCATCAGGCAGGTCCAGCCCCATGATTCGGTCATGAGGCTGCAGAAGGGCTGTATAGGCTGCCAGATTGGCTGGGGACCCCGAATAAGGCTGGACATTGACTCCCCACTGTGCAGGATCCAGGTCAAAGGCCTCCAAGGCCCGGCGTTGACACAGCAGCTCGATTTCATCCACTACCTCTGCTCCTCCATAATATCTGCCATGGGAGGAGGGAATATCAGGACACAGAGAAAGGCTTCCACCATCTCCTTGACTAGTAGCAAAGGAGTGGAAAGGCTACTCCTCTAAACACACTGGAAGGGTGCAGGCAGGTGTCCCCTACAAGGAGCACCATCCCTAAGGCTGTCCTCCAGCCCTCTGGTGCCTAGTCCTCACCTCTTGCCAGGATAACCCTCCGAGTACTTGTTGTTCAGACAGGACCCCAGGGCTTCCAGCGCAGCTCGACTGCAGAAATTCTGGGGTAAAGGGTGGGGACAATGTCAGAAGGAACAAGAGCCCCTGTTGAGAGACTCCCACAGCCCACCCTGCCAGAACCCCAGGCTGCAAGGAGTTGAGTTCTACAGAAAGCTCTGTTCATTCAGGGTTCCTTGCCAGGCTTGGGGCGAGAGGCAGCATCCTCAGAATCCAAGCTGCCATGATAGGCATCCCCAGCAAGCCCACCTGTCCACTGGTACCTGTGCTTCCAGGTTCCTCTTTTCTCTTGGGAGGGGGAAGGGACCAGAATTGACAGGAGGGGATCTGGAAGCTCTCTAATGCCCCCATCCCATAACCCAGTCTAGCTCTGCCTTTGCTTCAGAGAACAGTAAAAAGAGAGGGAGCTAAGACCCAGGAGGAAGATCCTGAGTCTGAAAGGGAGAGCTGGAGAAATAGCAGTAAGATGACCTATTACTTCCTGCACCATGGTGGCCCAAGCCTTGGCCCCTCTCCCCAGGCCCCACCTCTGAGGCAATGAGTTCCAGGCCACGACATTGTCTGTCCTTCTCCCTTTGCAGCAGCTCCCACATCTCAGGGTCACTGTCTGACAGCCTCTCCTGGCCTGTCCAGCCCCTGGTTGCTTCTCCAGTCTGGGTCTGGGCTGCTTCACTGTGCTGGCACCGTATGACCATCCTGACCAGCTGACCATATCTCCGAAGAGGCTAGGGGAGGAAAAGCCAGGGTCAAATAAAAGCGTTCAGACAAATAGTCTCCCAACAACCCTCAGCCATGCTTATTGGGCCCTCTGGCTCCAAACCCAACAGCCAGCTGTCCAGCCTGCCTGTTCCAGTTTTCACTACCCCACTCCAAAAGTTAGTTCTAGAGCCAAGGCTGAGATCAATGTCCAGGGGGTGGTTCTGATTCAGTCCATTCACCTCACCTCGGAATCTTCCACTCTGCAAAGCCACAGGGTAAAGTTTGTCTTCTAGAGGCTAGAGGTTCCAGAACCTCCCCACCCACAGGAACAGAAGGGTCTTCCCTAGGGCCTCCATAAACTGATATTCCAGTCAGAGGGGAGGCCAAGTTGCAAGGGATTAAGACAACAGGCTTAGTTAGAGGTGGTTTTCGGAACAATGGAGGTAGAAGGGTAGATTTTTAGCAGTCCCAAGGCAAGAGGGATGGGGTGAGGTGGGGTGGGGGTCTGATGACAGGGAAGCCCAAAAACCACTTCCAGTCCTCTGCCCTGCCCCTTTCCACCTCCTTCCAGTCCACAGAGCCTCGAGAATCCTGATGCAAGCAGTGGGCTCGGTTGCATCATCCCCAGGGCTAAGAGTTTGCAGAAAAGACTCAGCTTGCTGGTCCAGGGTGGAAACCCAGCTGTCCGCCAGCACAGGATTCACGTGGCATCAGTTAGTTCTCTCCCCAATTGCCACGTGAAATGGAAGGTCACGTGGCCCTGGGGCTTCTGATTACCGCAATGGAGAGGGGCCCCTAGTTACCCCGCCCCACCCGGGGGTCTCGGGGATTCCCTGGTTGCCCGTCCATTCCCGGAGGACCCAGACCATGTGGAAAACCCGGGAGAACCTCATAGTTTGTGAATGGATACTACGGTAGGAGGGGAGCTTGCTTTCTATTGGTCACCCACGCTCCGGAGCCCCATTCTTACCCGAGTCGCCGAGAGAAAAGAGAAAGGCAGCATCTCAAACCGAAGTCGCAGGAGGTCCAGCCGCCAACTCTAGCTTGGGGAAGGAAGGAGTCGGAAGAAGACTGACCCGAGAGCGCATGCGTAGGAACAGCAGCCGTAGAGGCCACAAGATTAAGGGTAGGGGCCTACACATGCGTGCAGCGACTCCTTTATGGCCTTCTGGGAATTGTAGTTTTTTCCACCTTTCTTCCGCTTCATTTCCCGTCTGTAGCCCCAGGGTCAGAGGGCCTGAAAGAAAGATCTACTGCTGCCCCCATCTCCTCACTGTCCTGGAGATCTTCAGGTTTTTCACCCAGTTGTCGTCCAGAGAACAGCCATTTATTGAGTGCCTACTGAATACCTAGCGTTATTAGGCTCCCCGGGAAATACAAACACTCCTATACAAGCTAGAGTGCCATGGTGCCCTGGAATGCACCTGGTTTGGAAGGGTGAGAGACGTGAGTTCAAGCTCCAGCTCTGGGACCAACTAGCAAATTAACCTATCTGGGCCTCAGTTTCCTTATTTGTAAATCAATAATAAAATAACATGTGGTGGGGATTAAATGAGACTTTGTATATATGCATGCTCTGGAATAGATTGTCCTCCCTTCCTCCTCTGACTTAATAATGTGCCTCCTCCTTCACCATCTCCTCCTTCTCCTGGGACATCCAGGAGCTGAGCGAGATGCCCCATCTTGTCATTATACTTGTTGAATTTTGTTAACTGTTCACCTCTTGCCTCCATAGCAGTCATTGAGCTCTCTTTATTTCCCTGGGGCTATAGATACTTGGAACAGGAAGAGATCTTCCTTTTAGCCTGACTTCCTCTGGCCTCATCCTTTGGGGGAGGAACTCACTGTCCCTTCCAGGAGTAGGTTCCCAAGCCTGGATATCAGAATTAGCTGGGAAATCTGATATAAATATAACTGTGGAGACTCTCCTTGGAGTTTCTGATTCAATGGGTCTTAAAGAATAGTTGGTATTCACCCACTCACGCTGACACAACAAAACCTCTCCTCATGATTCTAATAAGCAGTGATTTTGAGAACCATTACCTCACATAGCAATATTACACATTCTTTCATTCAACATACATATTGAACTCCTACTCTGTGCCAGGCATGCCATAGCCCTGGAGATATAAGAATAGATTACTGACTGCTGGGACATCAAGAAGTGAACAGGTAACAAAATGCAACAAGTGCAATTATAGGCAGGGGCACCTCGCTCTGCTCTCACGTGTCCAGATGTCTGAAGAAGAGGGTGGGAGGAAGAGGAGGAGAGAATGGCTTTGGAGAAGGCAGGTTTGTGAGTCAGAGGAAGAGGGGAAGACAATCCATCACAAAGCAAGTTCACACGCAAAATCTCATTTAATCTCACATTATTTTACTGCTTTACAAGTGAGGAAACTAAGGCCCAGATGGGTTAATTCCAACCTTTCTCACTTGGCTCTCATACCAGGCCTCAGAAGTTCCCCCTTAGCTCTAACCTTCTTCCCTGTCACTCTTGCTCCAAGAATTCCCAGGTCTTTCCAGCACTAGGCCTGTGTTAGGACTCCACTGGGTTCTTCTCCTTCCTCCAGTCTCTGACCTAGAACCACTCCCACCTCCCTCCTTCTTTTGGTTGATCCTGTTATTCATTCTTATCCATCCATTCGTTCATCCATCGATATTTATTTTCCCCTTAGGGACTTTTCACTCCCAGGCGCGTCTGGCTCACACTCACCTTTGACTCAGTTTCCTCTGGAGCCAGTGGGCAATCCCCTGGAGAAGACTGCTCTCTCTGAGGGACCTTGACCCAGGACTAGCGGCGAAGGAAGGCTGAAGAAGAGGCTTCGTTCTGTGCCGCAGCTTGTCAGTACCCCCTCCCTAGCCCCCCGTCAGGGGTCCCGAGGGGCGGGGGGCGGCTGAGCTTGAGAACTGCTAATGAAGCCGCAGCCAATTAACGCCCCGGCCAGGGCTGGGGGCGGATAAAATTAGCAGCCGTAGCTGCGGGAGGGAGCTGAGGGCTGGAGCTGTAGGCGGGGGTGGAGGGGGTGG